GGGGGGGGGGGGGGGGGGGGGGGGGGGGGGGCAGATCCTGTTCCCAATGGTGACGATACCTTTTCTCACAAAGTCAGCCTTCGCGATACCCTCCTTGATGGCCGTGTCGTCTGTGAGACCCGCCTTGGCCATAAAGGCCCGATGGAGTCGTGAGCGGAAGTAGTTGTAACCTTGGGGATAGTTACGGCCTAGATAGAGGAGTTCTGTACCCACGGAGCAAGTTAGTAGTTGCGGCCTGGTTGCGGCCAAAGACGCAGTATGTGTGGCTGTATAGGGGGTGAAATGGAAACGGAAACAAGATGAAATCTTGAGAGACGCACGTTTGTAGATGGCGATGACCTGGCTCCGTAGCTCCGGATTCGGGAGCGGGGTCATTCTGGTGGATTGGAAAATATTTTGATTATGGCTTGGTCATCGTGGGGTCGAAATGGGGGGTTGACTTAGCCCATCCAACGCAATTATCAAGACTCCGTGGTGAGTTGCTGGGGGCTTTGTTTTGTCGAAGTTGCAGCCCAGGCTACGCTGCAATGTGACGACACTGTGCCTTGGAGTGAGAGCGCCTCGGCCCGTTTCGTACAGATGCAGTACACCTGTTCCTGTTTCCCCAGCAGCGGGACTTGTTCAGTCTCAAACCTTTCGGCCACCTGGGCACTGTAAACTTGTATGCATGTTCTACATACATACACTAGTATTCACGTATGCGATTTTCACAGCGTATGATTTACCGAGATTTCTAGGACCCTTATCGATCTCATTGAAAGACCCGGCTGTCATGATCCGGTTGACATCGGCAAGAGACCCCCACCTAGCGCCCCGCTCCCCGCGCGTCGTACTCCCGAGAGCCCGAGGTGATGGCGACAGCATTCTCGGCCCACTGGAACTGGATAGGTAGTAGCAAGACCCCGAATCGCCGGGCCGGCGTATCGAGAGACATCCAATTGAAGCATCTAGGGTACCTATTTGACGGCGTTTTTTAACAAACCAATGTGAAGAGGGTTGGGCCAATTGAACCCGCTCTCCCCCTTCGTTACCTCCACGTACTTGTTTTCTTGGTCATGGCCATTGCTCCCCCTCCGGTACGTTCGGCACTCCTGAGGAGTAGCCGGGGATGCGGCCGCACACTCCCCGCGGCAGCAGCATCAACACCTCGCCCGTACCGGCCGCTCTCCGTTTCCACCACCACCCGGCTCGGCTCAGCGGACAAGGTACCGCCATTGCCATCGGCGCGGTGGACCAGCGAGCTGCCGGCACGCATCGGCAAGTGTCTCAGTTTTGGCTGCAATGCCCAGCAGACCTCCCAGGCGGCCGCTGTGCTACGTGTCGTAGCGACCGAGTGGAAAGAGCTTTTGGCTGGGAGCGAGGGGTTCCTGACGGGTGGTCGGCGCGGGTTAGAAGGGCGGGAGATTGCCTGGGGGGAGATGGACAGTTTTGTAAGTGACCCTTTTCCTTGTCACTTTTGAGGAAAGGGGGGGGGGGCTAGGGATATTAACATGTTACAATAACTAGCAACATGTCAACAACGTCAACTACTACCGCTACGCCGAAACAGCACGCGTGAATTGGGTTAACAATTTTGCGGTCCATGAAGATCCGGCGAACGGGAAGCAGTGGCGAGAGCTGGTGGCACCCATCTCGACGGGGCTCATTATGAAGAGCCTCAAGGCCGACTTCAAGTTTGTGAGTCTTCCATCAACTCAGTCATCCCCGGGCTCTGAAAGCACTATAGGAAGAATAGCTAGGCTAATTGCCCCTTCTAGCCCATGGTCTACCCGGACAAGATTTCAGTTTACCACAAACTCCGAACTCAGCCCTCCAACAACTCAAACAGCGCACCCAGCTCTTTTATGCTGGATTGTATTGTGCTGTCCCACCGCCACCGCCGTGTAGCATGTCGTCTGGAGGAAGACATTGTTGTCTACGACTACAAAAAGGGCGGCAAAACCGGCATGCCGCCCTTTATGCTGAATATGTTTGAGCGCACGTGGGCGCTGCAGGAGGGGGCGACGGCACGGTCAAGGCGGAGAATTGGGGAGCTGTATGATGCGGTGGAGAAGCTGGAAGGGGAAACTTGGAATCGGGCGGATGCGGTAGAGGATATGGGGGGTTCAACGGGGCAGTAGAGTGATGTATGAGTAAATACGGGATACATTGTGACCGAAACGTTATTTTCAGTTATGACCCCAGGCCTTGATCAGTGAATAACTCCCTATTGAGAGTGTGTGAACTCTGTCGTTTTCGTTTGAGCGGCCCCTTTCCTTTTCACTTTCTTCGTTATCACTCATAATTAAGATTAGTGTACAGTACATGTACTTTGTCTTCTAGAATGATAACTTGAGGGCTCTCCTGCCCCGACTGGTTCGGCTGTGCCATCAGATCGACAGCCGGAGTTTCGGCCCGTGGATAATATTCAACCGAGCCTAAGAAGGATCGCCATGCGATAACAAGCACAAACTCCTCTGAGTTACTGTACGGAGTACATGTATTTTGGTGAGGTGCCTCGGGTGCTCAGCTGATGTGGCAAGCATTAAACACAAAATGGACCGCATGTCACATTCTTGCGCCCTTTCGCGGAAAGGTGGAGGAGGGTTGTGGGAGGGAATATCCAACGGTGGTTGAGTTCGTGTCGCGATCAAAACACCCACCTGACAACTTGTTCCCCACCATTCGCACGCCATGAACCGTTCATCGTCGATGCTGAGTGAGCACTGAGCAGCAGGCGCATGGGGTCGATTGTTGCTATGTAAACGTTGCCCCCTCTTTTCCCTCGCATCGAGATATGCCAAGGGTCTTGGTTGATCCCCCTCAATAGCCCACACCTCTTGCCTCTCCAATTTCCAACGTCAAGCATGCAATCGATCATGAGTTTCACTGGTCAACCTATCGGGTTGCACGGCATGAGCGAAGGCCGCCTGACTTCTCTGTGTCAATTCATAAGTGGAGGATACAAGGGACGTTCGGGGTTAACCTAAGTTCGCCGTGTCATGAGAACCAAAGCCGAGACAGCGAGGGGACAAGACTGATATCGGACGATCGACGGACTCTGTTCGGCTTCTTCCCGAAAGGAACCATGAGGGGAGATCTGGCCCGGCCCCACCGAGCGGCCAGTTCCAATCAGAAACGACATAACTCCGAGGGGAGAGGAGGGCATGGAGGGTTTGAAACCACAGACGCCTTCAGAGAGGGTTCGGCGAGAGGGGTCACCAGGGTTTTTTTTCCGACTTGCGGGATTTGTGGGGCGATCTGCAACTGGACAGAGAGTAAGGGAGACGAGACGTCTTGTGGGTTGCTGCAGAAGCTGCAGAAGCCGCAGGAATGTCACAAAATGTCTAGCCGTTTGACTTGTTGATCCACCAGCCGTTCTCCCTCAAGAAAAGGAAGGCAAAGATGCTGCACTTCGACCGAGGGGGAAAGTGGTCCTTCCCCTCCACTGCCGGCACTGGGCACTTGGTGTGTGGGCCGAGAGATCGGCCTGGGCCAATCCGGACGGCCGGGTCGAGGGCAAATGCCGAGGAGATCATCGTCTGCCGAATGCTTGAACGGTCCCTCTTTTCGATTCGTTATCATAGATGGGGTGTAGTGTATGCCCTCTGCGGGACTCGAAGACGGCATTGGGGGGAAAGAAGGGGTGGGAGTATTATCACGTTCCCCCTGCGGGGTCCCTTCTGTGATGGAAGGGGCCGGTACGAAGTAGTTGAAGGTCCATGAATCCGTTTGTCATTGCTTGCGAGACCGTCCATCGGCGATTTGAAAGGCTACGGGCGTGGGATGTTTGCCGTTGGACCAGAAACCATGGATTGTTGACCGAGACTAAGCAGTGATCGGCGGGTCAAATGCGCGAGTCGCATGTTCCCCGCATCTCACCAAATCGATTTGAGGTTGGTTCGCGATGGTCTCATTTTTGAGGTACGTGGAATTCCGACGCAACGAACTTTCAGATTCCTCGACGGGGGTAAAAAGGTATATGATTGCCGCGTGAATGTTTGTTGTGAAGTCAGAGTAATCTGTTCGCCCCTAAAGAAACGCAAACTTAGTTTACCTGACGAGCTGGGAGGGATGATTCGTTGGGTCATGGGCCTCTCGCCATCCACAAATCGCGTGGGTGTCTCACTGGTCTCATCGGCGCTTGTTTTATCGAAGCGTTGCGACCAAAACCCGCCAGCGGCTCGCTCTTTTCTCAAGGCCCGCAGCCTCAAACGGTGGGCCCGCCCCGTTGCGGCAAAGTCCAACTATTATCGTGGACCACGGAATCAACGGCCCAACCAGCCGGCGAGAAGAACACAGCGGAAAGGAAAAGTGACCGAGCTGAAACCTTGCATCTCACACCACTTAGGTGGTCAAGGGGGAAGTGCCTCATCAATCTGACGGGACCCTTCGAATTGAGGCTCCCGTCTTGTGCCTGACTCATCGGTGTAAATTAGATCGCAGACTCCCGGGATACATTCTGTGTTCCCAGACCATACAGACATGTACCTTGCATAGGTCAAGTAGGTGTGGGTGTCTTGCGATCGGTATTGGCCCATCAGGGTCGCAGGTTTCTCGGGTGTAGTGGTTTTCACGGAGCGGGCGACTTGGATAAACTCCTCATTTCAGCAATAGGCCCACTGTGGTTGCCGCTGACCTGCCGGGAATCTCAGCACTGAACTGACACTAAACTCCACTTTTTGTCCCTGGAAATCCTTCTCGGCTGCCAATCCAAAAATCCGCTTTTCTCCTTTCAAACTCAAAACCAACCAACCTGCATCACCTCAATTCGGACCCCTCCACACCCGTTTGCACACACAATCCTTGGGTCCGGTCCGCCACGATACCGGCGTCACACGCGAGACGCCCCCGGTCGGCCGATATTGAAAAGCAGAAATAAGAGCCGTTGCTAGCGTAATTCGGGGCTGCCCTCGGTATTGCGACTGCAGTTGCGCACGGTCTGCGGATTGCGGCTTGGAGGAAGAACGCATCGGGGGGCGAAATTGAAACTCACCCGGCCTTGGGGAACACCAATTCTGGCGCCGCCACATCTCGCCAACTCGACCTCAAGCCTGTCCTAGGCTGGCTCAGAAGCGTATTCTGAGCTAGCAGATTGCGTATGCCTCGCGCGTCAAGCTCAGCAAAGCGACACCAGGCAGCGACGAACCAGCGCGACACTCGTCATGAGAATGGATTGGTAGGCCCCGGCAAGCGTGTTGTCAAGCGGAAGAGCCAGACTCAGCTCGATGACCCCCCCAAGCCGCCGGCCGACAATGCTTTGGTGCCGCCTGTCCCCCCTCTTCCACCGAGTCTCAACGGTTCTGCCGCATACTTCGACGAGATGGCCCCCGAACACCGCGCAACCGAGATGCTCCGGCGTGGTTCTCTCGGCACGTTCTCCGAGTCCTCTTCCACCGAGTCGTTCCCTGGGGGCCCTCCTGCCCACGATGCCTCTGAAGAAAGGCACCGGCGAATCGATGTCAACGACGCGAAAAACACCAACGTCCACCGCGACCCGGGTCCCCTGGACCTGGCCATTACCGTCTTGCGTTCCTGCCCGCTCGCTGACACCATCGCGATCCTGATAATCCTTATGCAGGCGTCCCCGGCCGTGCTGGCTACCATCTACATGCTTTTTACCGTCCTCACCTTCGTCCCTCCAGTAACCACAAGTTCTGGCCTGAGTTTCACCGAGATCTTTGACGGAAGTCAGGGAATTCCTTCGTTATGGACCTTGATTTGGATGGATGTCATCATGCTGCTCATATGGTTGTTTCTCTGGGCTCCCATCCAACAGTTCATCCTGGATCTTGCCCAGGTCGTCATCTCGTACACCCTCGGAGGTGGTGGCACGTCGAGACAAGGCACGACACCCGGCATAATACTCTGTGTGGGGCTTGTTGGGGTATCGCACTGGGTTCAGAGATGGAATGGCTTGTCTCGCCTGACCACGATATTTGGTCCGACCCGTTTTCTGCCGTCTGACGCAGGGCCGAGCCTCCGGATGTTCGATAAGAAAGGACCGTATGGTTGGGTTCGTAGCGTCTTGGCGATTCACATCCTTACACAAGGGGTTGTGAGATGTATCCGAGAATGGTACCTTCGAAGGGAACGCCGAGATTTGCAGTCACAGGGCCTTTTAGACCCCGAATCCGGCAAATCGGTCTCCTTCCCGACCGATGGATGTTCCGACGCTGCCCTGATGGCGGCTGACAGCGACGCACACCTCCAAACGAGTGCAGCACATCTAACGAGCAAGAAGAAAAGGAAACAGAGTGCCCAGGTCAGGATCAAGCAGCCGCTTTGGGCGGCGCTTGCTAGCACCAAGATCGTTATGGTCAAGGAATACGAGTTGTCGCACTCAGCAAGCGAGTCCGCCGGTTCCAATGCTACGGACATTCATAACCTCGGCAATGCCCCATTCAATACACAACCTGAGCAGGTCTGGATCTGCTATGTCGGCTGCGACGAGGTCTGCTTTAACACGAGCCATTTCCCGGACGTGGGAGAGGATGACGCGCCGCTCGAGGACAGCAAGCTGGGAATTGATGTTTCAAAGCCCTTTTATGTAAGGGTCAACAACGCTATCTGGCAACCAACGCGCATCATTCCGATCGAAAACCCCGAGGAGGAGAATTACAAAGGGACACACTGGACCGGCGACATTTACGGACTCACACCTTTGTCGAACTACGAGTGTGAGTTCGTCAGCACACGGACGGGCGAAGTCATCTTTTCGACAAGCGTTAGAACCGTCCCAGCGAAGAGGAAGGATCTCGAGGCCGCTCCCAAAGCTGCCAACAATCCTCGGTCGCATGCGCGCCACGACTCACCGGCCACCACCCTTCGTGCTTCGATTGCCGCTGCCGAGGTGAAGCTGGCCGATGAGAAAACTCGCCTCAAGGCTGTGCGGAAAGACAACAATCGGAAGCTGAACACCACCCGAAAGGAAATCGAGAAGGTTACTTGGGCAGTTCAATCGGCTGGCGGCGATGACGAAAAACTGAGGCAGAAGGTTGCACAGAACACCATCCAGGAGAAACGAGCAGAGGAGTCCACGAGCGAGCTTGAGAGACAACTCAAGGAGTTTGAGACGGTTCCGGAGAAACTTATGAAGGAACATCGCGCGAAGCATAACGAATGGACGTCTGAAAAGACCAAGTTTGATCAGGCTCGTGCGTCGTTTAAGAGTTTTAAGACGTCTATCGACAAACAGATCAAATCGCTGGATGAGGAGAAGTCCGGGTTGAAAGCGAAGAGGAACAAGATTGCGGCTCGTATTGCGAAAGTGGACGATGAGCACGCTCGGATCACAGATGCCAACGCCAGGGGCCTCAATGAGGCTGAAAGGCGTCGACAAGAGCGGGCAAACCTTGCAGCCGAGCTCGCCAGGGCGGAACAGCACCTAAGGGATCGGATCCAGACCATCCGCCTCAGCAACACTACCAAGCAGGCTCAGGTCCACGCCATGGCGGCCCATATGCAAGAGTACCTCGCCAGCTTCCAAGAGGAAGCCGCATATGACATAACACCACCTAACCACTTTGCTCCTGGTCCCTGGTCGACGGCTCCCGCACCCGCCCAATACAGTGTTGCATCTCCTTGGCCTCCAGTATCGATGCCCATGTCCGCTCAAGCAACACCCCTAATGGCGCACGCTCAGCTCTCGAACTTCTCAACCCCGATGCATGCTGCACTCACCAGCCTGCCACGCCCGCATCGCACGCGCGGCCGTTCTTCGTCGATGCTCAGCGACGTTTCTGGATTCACCCAATCCACCGATGAAGATGACCGCGGCAGTGGTTCGGGTAGTGGTAGTGGCACTGGTAGTGCTAACGGCAATGGCAGTCTTACTAACTCCAACACCATCGTCGGAGCTCCGGTGAGCGGCAGTCAAGTTCACAGCGGTGGATATACCGTCACCGCTAACGGAAGTAGCAAGGGGAGTGGTAATGGTGACACCGGCAGCCATCTGGCGCTCGCCGGCGCGGCTCCGTTGCGTCGCCTACCGCCTGGGCTCCATGTCAAGAGCGGGTTGGCCGCGCCCGGCACGGGATCGGGGTCCGGGTCCGGCCGCAGCAGCGTGCGGTCGGGCAGCGGCAGCGGCGCCAGTATGAATGGCGGCGAGGCAGTTAGCCCGATTTAAAGGGCGGGAATGGTGGGGCCGTTGATTCGCCGCTGGTTCTTTGCTCTGGCCCGGGTTCGCTTGTTGCCTTTCGCGGACTGGTTTGGTGTCTTCCTTCTCATGTGCCTGCCGGTCAATTGTTCGGTGAAGTGGTTGGACCGGTGTGTTAGCGTGATCCTTTTGCCCCTGAGTTTTGTTATTCTTGCCCACATTAGCTGCTCCAAAGTTTCCAAGTAGAAGGTCTACAGATACATCTATTGGATGTTGGTGTTGGTCAATGCCAATACAAAAAGTTAGTTGGCTTCGCCTTTCATTGTTATCCCCTATGACCTCAACATGCATGTGTATCCGTGGTGCTTCGTGGGTATCTTGTCTACTCAGGTCTCTCCCAGTCTAGTGGTTATTTCCCAGCTGGGTGGACATGGAAGTGTCGGAAGTCGTGTGCTACCGGGTCTTTCTCCTGTCCCCTTGTCACATGAATGACTCGCGCACTACTGCAGGTACTATGCTCCAACGTTACTTGACCATCCTGGTAGTTTTTTCGACCACTAACCCAACAACGTTGTTGAACACGCCGAGAAAAGACGAGGAGCCCTCGTTTTGCCTCAGGGCGGTGCTTCATGCCACAAAGACGAGTTCGCGATTTTCCTTCTTGACAGGTTCCAATCTGGATTAAGCAGAATTGTTGGGTACGGTGTTGATGAGAACTCTCAGACGACCACAAAGTGACTGGCCCCTTCAGGTTCAACTCCACGAGCGGTGCCTTGATCTTGCTAGTGGTCCTCCTTTCTCCCCTCCCCGAGCGGAGTCTGCCCCGAGCGTGTTGAAATTTCAGCAGGTCGCATAACCGAAGCTCCTGCGCGGGCAGGACCATGCAACGTTGTCCCGGACTTTGCCATTATGACTTCCCCATCAACTCTACCCAATCCTTAAAGTATGTAGGCCACATCACGGTTCGTTTTTTACCTCTTAATATCCATATCCTCCGACAGGACGTTCAAGCCGGGGCTCTGCGCTCAAAAACATAATATTTTGTCCGTCAGCTTGTTTATGACATTTTCACTCCAGGTCTTCGTCCAGTAAACTACCCAGCTCAACGCAGGATCCTCTTCAGCTCTCCTTGGACCCTCCTCCTGCAAGTAGGCCCTTAGAACGAGGAATACCGGCCGCCGCGGAGAGCGAGCCGGCCACAATCAGATGTCTCTTGGCGCTTCTAAGGCGAGAGAAAAAGCCAACCCCAGCCTCGGTATCAGTTGCCCAGACCTCTTGCTCGGGGCCGCGCTCCATTTTGGGCGTAACCTTTTCGAGAGAGGGGCAAATGTAGGAGGAAGCCACGATGCAGGCACGCCAGGGGGAAGGTCTGCTTGGCTTTCCCCACAGATTCTGGGCGCAGTTTTCTGGGGAAGACTAAACCAAAATTGGAAGTGGCAGCCCGTGGTTGCATGATAGGACCCAGGGATCCATGAGTTTATTCTCCGAGCGTCGTCGATTTCAGAGGTGGTTGTGGCAGAGAGTTGGCGAACGAGATATGATGAAGAGTTTGGTTTGCAGTCGGCATGTACAGTTCCCGCGGCTGACTAGTGATCTCGAAGAAGTATTATGTTGCGACGTTCTTGCTTCGGGGGGTAATGCCAATAATTGTTGTTTCAACACGGACGGGCAGGTGACACCGAGAAACAGTACCGTACACTGCATTAATTGCCCGGATGTGGGAGGACGGATCTTCGGCCTGTTGGTTGGCCAAATGTTGGAAGTAATTTGAACGGCTAACATCGAAACCGGGGTTGACCTTGAGAGCAACTGCCTGTTACCTCCACGTGGTTTCCGCTGAAAACAAAATATCCACATGCCGGTTTGGGTCCTACGATGCGACGAGATCGTCGAACGATAGTCCTTGATCATGCCTCGTCTCAACTTTGGCATCGTTGGCGGAAGCTCATACGACCTGAGGCGAGAGTCCCCTCATCAGGGTTGAGCAGGAGAAGGTGATTCATTTCACATTCGACCTGCCTGCAGCTTCAGAAAATGTTGTCCTGACCCGAACCGAACTGCAGGAGCTGCTGGAGCCGAGGCTACCTACCTTTCCATGATCAGATGCAAGAGTTGTTTCCCCGGACAATATGTTCCCCGCCCTTCCTGACCCTTGCGGCGCTCAATCCGGGGAAAGTTGCATCTGAACCAGGGGATTCCCTCGTGTTCGCAACAGATCGAACCAATGGAGCTGATTCCTCCATAGATCCCCTAGCGGTTATCCCCACGGGGGCTCGGGGGCTGATCTAAATCGTCGTCTCCACCCAGTTCCAGGCTGGGCTCGATCAGATGGTGTTCGTCCTGCCTAGGTATGCCGCGGGTGTTGGTTGGGAATCCGGAGGCAGGTGCAGCTTTTCGAGACATAAGAGTGGTCTGGAGTACCCATACTTGGCCGTTCAGTTTTCCCCCTTTTTCCTCCTTACTCACCACCACACTCGTTAAGCGACCAGGCCAGAGCAGCAAAACCAGGCAACAGTTCTCTCAGTCCTCTACACACTCGTTCTTGAAGATCACCAACACTCCACTGTCACGATGAAGTACACAACCGCCGTCCTCGCGTTGGCTGCCGCCACTGTCTCGGCCCAGGACATCTCCATCTTCCCAGAGTGCTCTCTGCCTTGCATCATCGACGGCATCGGCACCACTTCGTGCGCAACTACCGATTTCGTCTGCGTTTGCAAGAACATGGACGCCATCAAGCAGGCTGCCACCCCTTGCGTTGTCGAGAAGTGCGGCATTGACGTTGGCCTGAGTACGTGTTATTCTTCCCGTGATTTCTTCCAACCTTGCGATCGCTGACCGTTCATCCGTCAAATAGACCAGGTTCTGCCCGCCACCGAGAAGTTTTGCGCGGCCGTTGGCGATGGCAGCAGCAGCAGCAGCAGTGCCCCTCCCGCCGAGAGCACCACCGAGTCGACTGCCCCTACTTCTGTCTCGTCGAGCAGCGAGGAAGCTCAGCCGTCTGAGACCGAGACCCCCGGCGGCGGTGATGACGAGCCGGCCACTACCACTACGGAAACCGGCTCCTTCATTACCCCCAGCCCCACCGGCAGCCTGATCCCCTCGTTCCCCAGCGGTGGCGATGAGTACAGCACGCCGACTGAGACCGCGACCTCCTCGGTTTACACCGCCGGCGCGGCGGTCGTGGGGGCTGTCGGCGGCTTCGGCATGATGCTCATGGGGGCCGTTGCTGCTTTGTAAAATGGTCGATGTTAATTACATCACTCGCCTCCGTCTTCATACAGGGACCAGAGATATACGGATGGGTTGGCGGGATATTATTGTCTGTTGGTGTTGTTTGCTAATGTCCGTAGTTGGGATAATGGTGTGAATCCACTAAAAGGGGGATACAGGAGGAAAATCGTCAACCTATCTCAGGCTATGTACATATAATAGGACTTCCCACTGTATTAAAGGGTCGGATGAGGCCTTGCCGATTATCCAACGTACTCCGTCTAACCTGCCCGACCAATTAGCACTGCCAATGACCAGTTGTCCGGCCCGACACAGCCCCAATTTTGCCGCATATCATATATCATAACCGTACTCTCCGCCATGTTGAAGATCCGTTGTATCCTCCATGTTCTTATCGACCCCACCCATTCTTTACCACTTTCTAAGTGCAAATTCCTTCCTTCCAGGGTATCAATGTCCTCCGTAAACCAAACTGCAACATCTAGAAAGTACATTCTGCACCGAACAAGATCGAGTTTGACCGCCAATGGCGAATCCACTTATCCAAACTACACCCAGGCGATTGTCTCTACGCCTCTTCACCGGGTTCACCAAAAGGATAGTTGAACTTTAGCAGCCCGTTTAATCCGCCCACCCACGAATCATCATCCTCGGCGATGCCGTCCATATCCCCGCCAGCACCGCCCCGGCCCCGTTTCGACGTCGACCGAATCACACACGGCACGCCACCGCGCCACCCGTCCGGTCCCTTTTCCAACGGTTCCCCTTCTACGCGCACCTCCATATCGATCGTCACACCGACCCGGCGCTTACCGTCGATGCTGACGGGGAGCTCGCGGCCGCGGTTGCGTTTGCTGAGTTTGAGAACAATTTGGGTTTGGAGGGGTAAGACTAGGGGCCGGAAACTGAGGCTGCGTGGGCTGATGGGGGTGAGGAGGAGCGATTTGACGAGTGGGTGGATGATGGAGCCGCCGGCGCTGAGGGAGTAGGCGGTGGAGCCTGTGGGTGTGCTGATGAGGATGCCGTCGGCAACGGCTTCGGTGAGGAAATGGGAGTTGATATAGATGTCGATGATAGCGAGGTGGGGGTGGGAGCCGCGGTCGATGGAGACTTCGTTGATGGCGTGTATGTAAGGGGGTGACAGGGCGGAGTCAGTGGTGAGAAGTTTTCTGTCTCTGGTACTGCTACTGCTGCTTCTGCCGCTGCTCTCGCTGTCTTTGTTGGATGAGTCTAAGGAGGAGGTAGAGTTACCTGGCGGGCCGAGGTCGGGTTCGGCGGTTGAAGTAGGTAGGAGTTGCTCGTTGATGTTACGGCCGTCGCTATCGTAGATGCCGACCCGCAGCCGGTTGCGCAGGAGAATTTTGGAACTGCGGGCTAGGCCCATACACTGGCCATTGCCGCGGACGCTGTCCCAGCCCCCCGGGGTAGGGGAGAAGTCAAGTTGGCTTTCCGATGAAGGTGATGTGCCCTTCACGGCCGCGCTTGTGTGGGGATCAACGAGGTCTTCAACAGCCACCGAGCAGCCGCTCATGTAGCATTCCCGCCAAGCGCGCTTGTACTCATTGAAGTTCCACTCACCCAGAAAGCCGATGGTTCCCATGCTAAAGGAGAGGATTGGCGGGACACTGTTGTGCGTGGAAAATAGGCTGGCGGCTCGCAAAATGGTGCCGTCTCCGCCCATGGTTGTAACAAGATCAATCTTCTGGGGAAAAAGGGTCGTGGCAAGGCCTGGGTCGACGACGTAGATGGGGAACGGGAGAGCCTCGTGGATGTCATTGGCGACGTGGCTCTCAAAGACGATGTTGAGCCCCGGATAGTTGTTGTAGATGTGCTTGGCAAACTCGATGGCCTTTACTGTGACGTGTGGTGCGTGTAGCTTAGGCATGAGCAGCACGTTCCGGGGCGGCTGCGGCCAGTGCAGTGAGAGCAGCGAACCGGTCTTCGACCTCTGTTGGTAATGAGGGGTGATTCGGTCAGGGAGGGATGCCGCGCTTAGAATCTGCTTGCGGTGTGCAGAGACGGAGAACGTCCGGTAAAACGCCTGGCGTCTTAATCCTCCACTACCTCGGGCAGTCCAGCAGGTTTGTCTTCCCAGGGGAGCCACAGCCATGACGGAAGAAGCGATTAGGGTCGGGGAGTCGACGAGGGGATGTTGGCGGTTTCGAGCCACGGGTGCCAATCTCGACATGTGGACATGGCGTTGGTCGAAGAATCAATTCCAGACCCAGCGGGAAGACTGGAACACTGCAACGTCGGGTGGTGAAGCTTCTGGGAATTCCAGGTCTCCTGATAGGCTTGATTCGGCTCGAGGCTCTGTTGAACTTGTGGATGGTTGATTTTTGGCGGGGCCGTGACGAAAGCTCGAAGCTCGGCGTGAGTGGAGCTCTGCTCTTGTGACAAACTCCAGGAACCCCACGCAGATGTTGGAAACCAATAGGAGGTCGCAGAATGTCAGCCCACCTCATCGGCATTTTGTCACTCCAAGGCTCAAACGCTTGCAATTAAGCGTTGAGGTTCCATCGGGATCGGCGGGATCTCGACACCAGCGACGGGAAGAGCAGCCACGCACATGCCCTTCTGCCCGGTCATTCCACTGTGTGTATCGTCTCGATCGTTAATGAAGGTTTCCCCTTGTGGGACACAGGGCTTGTCAATGCTCATGGTTCCAGAAATCTAGAAGATGCCTTTGCCACCCTCTCAATCCTCCGTCGCCCGTTGGCGCCCTGGTCCCCGCAGCCCGTCGAAGCTGTCTCCGGAAGTGACGGGACTCTAACCCTGCACCAACGAGCCTGGCCCCCAGCGCCTGCGCCAGCGGGTGCCTGGAATCGCCCTTGCGGTCAGCAGTTAACATTAACGTTATCGTCTGCAAGCGCTGGACTTGTCGCAAAACAAAAACCCCGTTCCACCACCCCTCGTCCGATCACGCTTCTCTCACCCCTCCAACCTCATTCGCGCCATTTCCCTTGTTATCCCCCGCTTGTCGATACCGACTGCGTATCGCTTCCTACTCCCTCCGGATCCCGGATCTCGGATCTCGCGCCCAGAGCTTGGCGACCAACCAACAAAACATTAACTGCCGATTGCCCCACGGGCCGCGAACCGAGGTGAATAATGGCGGCCGAGCTCGAGCAGCCCGCCGCCGAGGTGCCAGGCCCGACTGCGCACCCATCTGGCCGGGAGAAGCACGGCCGGGTGGTGCAGGCTCTCCGGACCGTCTCGCTTGCCATCTACTTTTTGGCCGGCGCCACTGCGTATGCCCCTCTCTACCCGCAACTTCCGCGCGCGGCGCATGATATGCCGTAAATCGCTAACTAACTGTTGGCCATTTGCAAATCGCAGAATTCACACCACCCAACTTATCGGAGCACCCCTTTACTGGGTCAATCGCGAATTCTACTATGCCTACATGTCCCTCACCAAGCAGTCCTTTGGGCTACTCATTGCGACCATGACCCAATGGTGGGGCCCGACCACGATACGCATCAGCGGCGATGCTTCAGTTGCCGACCAGATTCGCAAGACCGACGACGGGCTCGTCGAGTTTTCGTTTCCTGAGCGCATGGTGATGATCGCCAACCACCAGATTTACACGGATTGGCTTTACCTCTGGTGGGTTGGTTACGCCAATTCGCCCAAGATGCACGGCTCTCTCTTCATCATCCTGAAGGAATCACTCAAGTACATCCCTATCGTCGGGCCGGGCATGATGTTTTACGGCTTCATCTTCATGTCCCGGAAAATGGCTGTGGACCAACCTCGTCTGGCCCACCGGCTCGGAAAGCTCAAGACAACGCACACAGCCCCCGACGGGAAGCAATATCTAGACCCCATGTGGCTTCTCTTGTTCCCAGAAGGGACGAATGCCTCGCAAAATGGTCGTAATAAGTCCGCCAAGTGGGCAGCCAAGATCGGCGTCAAGGATCCCGAGCATGTGTTGCTTCCCAGGAGCACTGGCACTTACTTCTGCCTCAACGAGCTAAAGGGGACCGTGGACTACGTCTATGACTGCACCGTGGCCTATGAAGGAGTTCCGTAAGTTTTAACTTCCCACTCTGCGTTCAAAGAGGGAAAAAAAAAACCCTTTTTAGCGGGTGAGAGCTAACAACTACTGTGACAGCCGCGGTAAATTCGGGGAAACTGTCTTCACTCTCGCAGGCACATATGTCCGGGGCCAAACCCCTAAATCGGTCAACTTCTATTGGCGCCGGTTCTGCCTTGCCGACATCCCCCTCGATGATCAAGAGAAATTTGAGCTCTGGCTGCGTGAGCGCTGGTACGAAAAGGACGCTCTCATGGAGCAGTATATCTCGACTGGCCGCTTCCCCGAAAATCCCGTCGACGCCGTCACCAAAGGACAACAACCCTTCCTAGAGACCGAGGTGCGAACCCGATATCCCTGGGAGTTCCTCCAGATTTTTAGCGTCATTGGCGTATTCGGCTTGGTCGTCAACTTCATCTGCAAAACCTGGGCGCGTTTTCTTTCCAACATTTCTTAATATTCAGCTTTTTCTTTTCTGGCTGGGACAAGCCTACATAACGATACCCTCTCCACTCTCATATCTTCGTGCATCATACGACTTATGCTTTCATGCCAACACGGGACAACGTACGACGCGGGCGGTTTAGGCGGGAACGGTCGGGCAGGTTGGGTAAACGGGCAACTGGCGTTTTCATTTTGGGTTTGGGTCGGGTGGAGATTGGGTCAATGTCGGTGTTGACTTGGAATTGGTGACGGGATTGAATCATGATGATTGACTATCATCATCAGCCGTGCGGTGCCACGTTCAAGACCATATGAGTTGGGATTTTCACAGGGCGCAGACTTGGGGCCAGGACGGAAGCAGACGAACAGGCAGGCTTACTGGTTGTGTATTCTTTGATAGCAGCAATTAAGGAAAGCATTGCGACCATTCTACTGCGTCTCCTATCACTACTCCTTTCCTGAATAATGCCTTCCTACCGGCCCGGGTAAGGAGAAATCGAAGATCGGCGAAAGTTGACAAAAAAGAAAAAAGAAAGTAAGGGGAGAATAATACATGCAAAAAGCTCACCACCGAGCACTATCCCCATCCGGAAGGATAATGGTCGGTGGTTACGAAAAGCCCCGCTCTTTTCTTGAATTCGAAAAGGGGACTTTTACTTCGCTGACCCGGAAATCGAACCTGGAGCCATTTCGATTTACGACGGCAGTGGCGGGCCCGGACTTACTCCCAATGCCGCTGGGCCAAACACACCGGTGGGTTGGCCCAATTGGGAGGGTCGGTGACAGTGAGCCTGCGGAATTGGATTTATGTATCCAGTACTGCTGGGCAGGAACGTCGTTGTTGCTTTGGAGCTGGCTAGATCGGTGCCTCAGGATCGTATACTCTGGGTGGAGGTTGAGAGGTAGATACCAACTCGTGGAGGTCACGAGGGATTGCTCGATTGCGGATCTGTAGTAGAGGGTAGGTAGCTAGACAGTTAGACTCGTTAAGTCAGAAAGACGGCCGCGTTTGAACTAACCACTTCCCCAAGATTTACGCCGCGGGTATCTGGGAAAGTCTTGGTCCTTCGCGTCTCTGCATGTCCTTTGCGGCTTGCCCACATGAATCCGACCTACCGCCCCCGATAAGGGCCACCAGAGTTGGAACTCTGTGTCCGCCGGCTGGGCAATTTGTATGCCTGTGAACCTTCTTCTCGAGACTCGAGCCGCCAGCTACCTATGGGATCGCATCTGCTTGACATGTCTACGGCGCAACGTAGGCCCTTGGTCTTAGGTGTTTGTCACTAGTTAGTGGCGAGGCCACCTTAGGCTTCTTTGTCACTTTGCCCCGTGGCCCTGCCTTTCTGGCCCTAATTTATTTGTCTTTTCTTTCGTTTTTTTTTTTCACTCAGGTTTCGGAATAATGTCGTGCGAGGTTTAAGGATTCGACGTCGGGTTGTTGTTGATTTAATCAATGATTATGACGACCGCGATATTTTCGACGCGTGTTGTGCTAGCTAGCTAGTTTTTCTTGTTGGTTGAAGCAGTCAGTGTGTTGAATATTCGGGTCCGGCGGCACAAGTGAATTGTGTGATAATAGTTAGCATTGGCTGTCGCCGATTGATATTTTACTTGCCCCTTGAGTTAGCCTCAGCTATCGAGGTGAAATTGAATTCCCGTCACGACTTAGATGGTCTCTCGCTATTGTCGTGTCGTTTCTCGATGCGTCTTTGCTCCCGGTTGGAGGAGAACTGGACGTCGCGATCCTCGAAAATCGCCAAAGTCAGTCTGTCTGCTGTCAAACAGAAGGTGGGCGTTGAGAGTCCATTCGCCAAAGCCCAAAGCTCAAATATTTATGAGGCTTTCGGGGTATCCTCGGTAGGTGGTGTTGGAGAGAGATTTTGGCAGGTCTTGATATCGCATGGTGGTAGGTTGAAAGGATCCGCTGACGTTTTGATTTCTGACCAGAATTTGGTCCTCGTTTCTGGTCAGCTTCGAGGTGTTCAGTTACACAAGAGCCATCTGCAACCCCTGAGGTTATGCCGATCGTTTGGCCATTGGACACAAGCATGGGACACAGGTGCGCAGGTGAAATCTGCTTCGGTAACTCCCAATACTCCATCGTGGTTATAAGTATATGCTCTTCATTATCACCCAACATTTCCAGAACTGAGGGAATCGAGGAATAATTAATTAATCGTTTAACCCACGGTATAATTAAGTTTGGCTTGCATTGAAAGAACAACTTGGCGGTAGCACAGATACGCATGGCAGTGGGCCTCGGTGCTGGAGCCACCTGCATTGCCCTCGATCTCTCGTCTGTTACATTTTCAACTGCCACCGTTCGTATTCCGTCTTGAGGTCACCACACCAAGTGTGTGTGGCTGGGCGGGAAGCTTGGGCTCTGCGCTCGTCCCGTCGTCGCCGCCCAAGGGTGCAACACAATGGGTGGGACAGATCCTTCTGCGTTCTTAGCCGTTTAGTTTGTGTCAGTGCCCGATGCGAAATGCTCACGGGCCGTAGTGTGACGAATCCACGACCGAGCCCGCTAATAACTTACCTATTGGCTTCGCCCGCCCCCCGGGTATAGCGTGTGCCCCTCGCTCCTTTTATGAACACCTACTTTCCCATGCGATGGCTCCTAAAAGGGGTACATTAAGCCTTTATCTCTCTACAGGGCCGTCTATGGTGCTATAGCAGTTATTGCCGGAGCTTCCTGTGGGATGCAATGACATCGTGGATGTTCATCGGTGGTATGGATCAAGCGATTCCTCAGTAGCTGCATGAGGGCCGGCTCCCTGCGTGGGATATAAAGAGGGGAAAAGGTCCTTGTAAGGCAGTTCCAATGGGAAGGGGTAATGGTGAGGTAGCTAGGGCTCCGAGGTGCTGTTTGCTAGCGACGAGGAGGCGCGTGACGCATGGATGTAGAGTGATTCATGACCGGACGTAAGCGGAGGAAGTGCATGAGGGGGAGAAGGAGTGTTAAACCGTTTGGAGTTTGGTATATCATCAGTGCTGAGGTTGGAGAAGAGGTCGGACAGTACATACCGTGGAGAGATCGTTTCGAGAACATGACGGGCTGCAGGCTGAGAAGGGGGGGCAGGGGTCCTGGTCGGGTCGTTACCTATTCTTCTGCATAGGTAGTCAGGAGACAAAGATATCAATCAGATACAATGGGAGAAAAAGCCCTGAGAAACCCCTTTAGCCGGACACTTGGTGCCATAAGTATAGTGTAACCACCAATTAAGGGCACTGTTCTCCGACGACGTGTATACTAATTATGCAAGGAGGAAAAGCTGCGGGTCAATAGCTATTGTTCCCAACTCATTTCCAGGAAAATTGAAGCCAAGATTATCGAAACACGGAAAACCCACTTTGGGTTAGTAACGGCCGTGTATAAAACTAACCGTTTCTCGCATCTTCACACTTTTTGATCCGCTGGTTCACGGACTAGCGAACGAAACACCGTTGGCCATTTCCGCTGACGACATCATGAAAGCAACCCCACAGCATTGTTAACAGCTTTCCGAGAATAGCGAGCTGGGGGAAAAGGGGTGAAATCGAGGAGGGGCAGTAGATAATTAGTGCATACAGCGTGTGCGGCCAACCTGAGGACAAGCATTTGCAGACACACTATTGACGTTGTTGTTACAAGGGGGGAGGCAACGGTAGTCCAAAGCTGGGTAGCAAGCATTCCGCGTTGTCACTGGGCCCCTGCCCCTCGTTTTACACGTCTAAGTAGGTACCTAGGTATTACTTAACGGAAGGAATCGGCCAAACACGTCCTCATGAACTTCGTTTAATCTCGTTTTATGATGAGAACCGCGAAACGTGGGCTTGAAGTGACAGAAGAGTGACAGGTTAATATGATCCCAAATCTACACCAGAGCGGATTGGCCTTTGTCGCTGAAAACTAGAATTTGGGAGGGGACCCCGCAGTTGTTTTATGCCTATCGCACAGTAATTTTTTCACAGGTATCTAGCTGTGCTAGCTGTGTCTGTGCGTTCCTCATCCTCCATACTTCGCCATTTGCGTAGTTTCCGGTCTCATGCAGACATGACTTAATTACCTTCTAGGGGCCTCGGGTAGCAAACATTATCGACAATACGCCCGTGGCCAGATGAGGGATCTAGAAGCACCGAGCCCAGGGAGGCCAAGGGAATAAGACGTGTGATGTGTTGGTGCCGCCGACCTTCATGCAACACGTATGGCGGGAAACTTCCAGTTGTATGCATCAGGGCCCAAGGTGGTGTCAGGCAGAAAGCATTCTACACAGTTTGGAGTTGTAGCTCTTCCCGGCCCTGTCGGAAAGGACCCGGGAGATATCGACCGAACGTCGCAGGCGGAAAGCGTGGCGTAGGATCCCTCCCCCCTCTAAGCCGGGAATCATCATGGAACACACTGTACTCTCTGCATGAGGAAAGGAAGAAACCAATCTATCTCTCATCGGTGCTGGCAGATACTTGCTCACAGAAGTCGACGGCTGCCCCGGGGAAGCCTAGGGCGGGCAAGGGAAGGACCGACATGATCCATCACCCGGGAAACTGTGCGGGAGGGGTATTCAGGCAGGATCCCAGTCTCCTGCCCCCTCCGCTCCCAGTGACTGGAACACACGCGCAAGAAGCCGGGAGCTCACAAAGGTTCATCGAGTAGACGAAGAGGCTGCTTTGTTTCTGCGAAAATTCGTGACATAAGATCGAACAAATTGAAACCCTCCGCAGAATCCATCTCACGCCAATGTGTCTTGTAATACACTGGCGCACACGTCGAACCACTCCCATTTCTTCGCACTCCTCTGGCTAGGTACTAGCTCTGTCCTATTACCTCCTCGAAACTGCGATTTGCCGTCGGTAAATGAGTGGACTGGCAGAAAACAAAACAAAAAAGCCTGCGCACTGTTGTCCTTGTTGGCAAATAGAGAGAAAGGGACGAACAAAAGACGAAGAAGGATAGAAAAAGGTCTGGTCTTTGATGGTGTTAGCCTCAGATTCAGACGGTGTAGTTGAGACCCTCGGGAATTTAGGAGAAGCCACTGGCGTTGACGTCTTGGTTGTCCTCAAGCATGAAAGCAGCCGAGCCGGCGGTGTATTTGGGCGGCTCATACAAAGCCGATGGCTTGACCTGGTATTGCTTCTTGAGCTCGGGGAAGCCATTGCCGTCGGGGCCATACGCAGCTTCCCAGGGCACCCGCATTGACTTGGGAATGGACCAGGCCAGCTTTGGGCTCCGTAGCCAGAGACGGACGAGATGACGCCCAGGCCCTGCCTCGGGGTCGACGTATGAGTCGCGGGCGTGAAGGAAACCGAGGTTGTTAATGAACACCATATCACCGGCTTTCAAGTCCAAATGAGACTTGTGTTTCGATGCCAAACTGGAGAGAATGTCTAGGGACTCAAGTTGCAACGGGCTTAGCGCAGGAATGTCAGACTCGATCCCAGCCTTAGCCGTTGTGGGATGGAGGCCAAGACGTCCGGGATCAACACTGACGAGGATCTTGTCATCCTCGTACACATGCAGGAGAGGTGCGACAATGTGCCGAGGAGGGTCGCCAGACCTATAACACGGGATGTTAGAGACCAGGTTTGTTTCAGTGGCCCGAGGCCGCGAGCAGGCCCGTCGCTCAGTCGATAGCGAGAAGACGGCTAACTCACACTTGTATGGGCCAGCTAGGGTCGCAGAGCGCGGCAAGAGCGTCCGGGTATGACTCGAGGAGTTCTTTGTAGACATCCCATGATGAGGCTACGAAGGTGTCCCCACCGGTCTGGGCCTGCGACCGAAGATGAAGCGCAAGAATTTCGGCTCCCATGTCACAATGCCAAGCCTACACATAGCAGAAGCCGTTTGTTAGCAAATGTTTTGGGACCTGACTCCATACGAAAGATTTGATTGAACGACTTACCAAGCCGGTGGTAGTGTGGATCCCATGACGCATGGCGGGAGGTGTGGTCCAGACTTTGGAAGCTGTGACGTGGGCTGTGATTGTTGTTAGCCAATGGATCGGGGTTTGGTGAGTTGGGGACCACACAAAGGGAGAGGAATGATGAGAAATTCACCTACTCAGCATGGAACCCTTCTTGTCCTGGACACCCCTCAGCTCGCCGATATGACTGGAGATTCCGAGAAAAACTGTCACATTATCCTCGGCAGTGTATTTCGCAGGATCCAGGCCTCTGATGATCGCGACACCGCAACCATGGTGGATGTCTTGGGAGGCACGGGCGAGCTGAGCCTGAATTGTGGGCAGAGAAAAGGTGTCACGCGTCACGGTGTCTGCATCGAGCCCGCGATCTATGGCTGGTTAGTCTGATGTCCGTAGTTCCGTGAATGAGATTCATGGCTCTGAACACTGACCATTGAAGCTCCGCAACGCCGCCTCTATCTCTTCAACATCATGGTGGCCGAGGATCACGATGTGGGGTAGTCGTTTACTGCCTACACCCTTGGGCGCCGGTGAGACCAAGGTAGACTCGACCTCGGATGACATGTTGTTTCGAAGGGCGTTGGAAGGAAGGTGGAAACAGGCGCCTATTGATAGTAGTGACGCGAATCTATTGCTAGAGATTTAGACTTGGGCGGTCACACGCAGAGCTTGGGAGAAAAGATAGGTGTGCGTCGAAGTCCTTGGTGCGGCAAAAGAGTTCTCGGTCTCTGGGAATCTCAAGGACCCTTTATCCTCCCTCAATCTTCGGCCGCCTCCAACGTTCCTCCCTTCCCACCAACGCTCCCCCCCGCTGGAGAGCGATACAGTTTGTACTGGGTGCGGAGAACAAACAACTTCGATGTGATATCCAATCGCCTGGACAGGGAAGAGGCGGGGTAATGGCTCTCAATACCTCCATAATGAAATGCGTGACCCGTCGGGGTTGTGGAATCGCGTGATAACTAGCATACGGACAGTGTTGACGGAGTCGAGGACAGTACTCCGTATTGCCGAACACTGTGGACCTGCAATCGGATGACAAACGCAAGGCTAAATTCATACAGCCGACTAGGTGGTTAGCTTGCTGTTATTGTTGGATCTGTCGACGGAAAGAAAGGGGCGGGGAGAGCACTTGAGAAAGACTGTTCCTTGGCTGTAGTTACCTGTCTCTTGGGTTGGTGTTTGACTTCGGCTATCCATTGTCAGGTATGGCGCTCCGCTGATAGTAAATTGTTGTATGGATGGCTTTCTTGCGGCCCCCAGGCCCAGCCGTTGGCCAAACCTGAGCTTTGGGTTGATTCGACTGCCATGGAGGAGGCTAAGTTGTGGAGGAGAGGTTGAGGAAGTCTACGCGGCAGCAGAGCGCAACGGGACCCGCAGGGTTGAACTGGGACTGGGATGAGCGCGCTTAACCAACATCAAAGTAACCGCACACCCTTGGCAAGGGGGAAGGGGGAAGGGGGAGGGGTTACTGGTATTGGGACACCCCTCGGTGGTTTTATTCTTTGACAGGAACAACGAACAGTCTCAGAAACGTGATCGCGGAGGAAAAGGTCCATTGATTTTGGGTCCCACCACATCACAACAAGGCATCGAGTGCCAGAAACCTTGTGCATCTGGCCCCCATCGAGTCTGGGGCAGGTCCCCAGGGCGAGCTAGGTGGAAAGTCATCGGAGCCAAACGCCGACAGTTTGCACAAAAAGGCTCGCTGAGACTCGGGGACGTCTTCTGGCACACTCACTCGAGTGAATATGAGGGTACATCTGGCCTCTTCGTTCCCATTTTGGGTAGAGACCTGGGAGGCTTAATCCAACTCATTGACTCCAGATTGGGCCACGGATGAGGTGACGTTGAGGTTGGTGTCTCGTTTTCTTCGGGAATGGGAAGACTAGACGATGCGCACGGAATTTACTGACGCCTCTGCCGTCAGCGTCGCCTCCTCGCCCCAAAAAACTCAACAAGCGGCCCGGCGGTTGCGGTAATCGCAAGTAATGTGACCGTTTGTACTTGAGACTCCGGGAGTGGTTATTTTTCTTTGAGAGCTGATTCATGTTTGCCGCGAGGATCGCTTAGAGATGTGTCGCCGGTCTTGTGAAGCGCGCTAGCCCAGGAAAGCAGCACATTGGGTGGTGGGGGGTCGTAGGGTCGGGGACATCTGTGTTTTTCCTCTCTCCCTCCCCTTGCCCCTATTTGTGTGCGCGGCTTGCAGGGACCGATCTTGCTGTTGGCGATCGTCCTCGATTCTCAGGCCCTGCTGATCCTTTGTCTTTGGTTTCCACCTGAGATCAAAACGGCTGCTCAGTGAGCCGGCCTTGACATGCTGGGGAAACGTGGAGCTCCGCGGTTCCTTGCTCGCTCCACAAAACCCACAGTGACGGCGTGCTTCCGACTGGCTGTGCAATTCCGCTCGAGGACAAAGCATTCCGAGATCGTTGGCGTCGAGATATCTACGCTTCGCGACCCTGAATTTTCTACGATGTACTGCGTATGTACGAGTAACTGCAGAGGTAAGTCAAATGGCACGCCTGTTGTGGCGACTGAAGGAGATGCAAAGGATACGCCCTTTCTCTCATTACTTATCTCTCCCCATTTCACTCCCGCGACGCGATTGGTGTCTGGTATTTTGCCTGCATCTTGACTTTTTAGTGGAGAAGGCGGAACGCGCGTGGCGCTGGGTTGTGAGATCCGAGATCTCCATGACCAGGGATTTGATTGTGCCTTTCTCGTCTCGGATGCGCATGAACGCAATCTACCCAAAGGGAACAGCAAAGAGCCCTAGAACCGGGCAGGTGTTGAATGCCGCTTGTTGCTGGCTGTCGGTATGGCCCATGCGGCCAACCAAAAACAGCAGCTTTTGCAGGTTAACGACCTGGCTTCCTGCCCGCCGCTCTGGCGAGACCCGCGCAGAATTGTGAAGGAACCGGCCACTCGCACGTTGCCCGGCGAGTAAACCCCGTTTTTCTCCATCACATTTCAGGCGTGAGTGCCGAATCCAGCATTCCGCCATCGGTCGCATCCCCACGCAAAGCTCCCGAGAGGCACCTCAGTTAATGCCGGGGGTAAGATCCAGTGGATGACTTCGGAACCTTCGGCCGACAAGTCTCGTTGATGCGCGCTTGAAGTCGTGTAATCTTTGACTTCCCGCAGGACGGAGCTAGCAATCGTCCTTTGCAGCACCGATAATTTTGATCCGCAGCCTTCTGGAGCCTCCCTGGTTCCCCTACCTACCCAATGCTCTAAGCCTAGCCACTTTAGGCGTTCTTGGTCGAGGCTTGCGTGCCCTGTGACTTGATAATATCAACTCGAATTGAAAGGTTGACTTTCATCGACGGCTTGGCGCAGTCGACGTTGATCCGAATGTGGCTTGCTTTCCCACCGGCCTGGCCCGCCCCTAGGTTCTCGGTACCCCGATTCTCCTCGACGTGCTCTCACTCAGGCAATCAACCTTGCGCTCGCAAACCCCCACCCTTGGTCGAGAGTGTTTTCGGTTCACGGCCTTGGGTTTTTCATCAACAAGTTACAGAAGCACCGTGGCACGCAGCCCAGCCTTCCCGGCGTTCCCGCCACGCTGGCGGCGCGATTTGCGCGGCAACGCCTCTCGGGAATCGAGATAACCAGCCGGCACGCGGTCGGTTGTAGCCGCACCTTCCAGCCCGCCCGGCTTGGTGCTGAACCCATCCACATCATTGCCTTCTTGTGGCTGTACCACCCGCCTCGATCGCGAGGCAGCTCGGGCGCAGCCTGGCGTAACGTTTAACCGTGAGCCTGGAATCTTTTCTCCATTAGGCGCTGCCCCTCCCCAGAACGAAGGCACGAAAAACCCGGCTTGTGTTTCCATGTCGAATGTATCCTCCTTTCCGAGCCACACGCATGATTCAGCAGCCAGGCACCGCCGAGGAACCACTTGGGTTGAAACGTACCTACCACACGCCATCAATGGAGACGGAGATCCGAGGACAGACCCCGTCTCCACATGACAAGATTATTCAAGATCTGGTATTTTCCCTCCCTGAACGTGGGAGCTTTTGTGAATATTAAAATAACGTTTCTTTATCCTCGATAGGCTGTCACTGCCGATGCTGTGTTACCCAGCTGCCCTTCAAATGCAGCTACCAGAGGAACAAAACGGCCCCGTCCGTGTGTCCTTCTTTCAACCGTTAGTCAGCCACAGGGAGGAGCTACTATTTGGGAACACGACCTTCATCTCGGACACGTAACGCACCGTACAGGAGACATCAGCGATGCCTTTCGTTTTATCGCACCGGGCGCGCCCCCTACCTCTTTCGTGGCCCATGGCCCGCCCTGGATGGCGCAGGCCGACCTAGATCGAAACCCGCACTTCCACGAACAAATCCAGACATCACGAGAAGAAAGCCAGGCCGCACACTCCTTTCATTTTGGCCCAGGACCAACCGAGCAATTCAACGTTGATGCTGGGATACGTGGCCCTACTCATACTCCGTATGGCATCCCCCCGTTTCCTCCGGTCGATCAGGTCAGCACCGGGCCGTTTCACGATCAGTGGTCTCGTTTCCCACAGAGCCCCCCAATACAAATAGAGTCTCTAGACGAGTATGAACGCAGGTCAATGTACCATCATCCGACATCTCTTCCCACACCACCGCCATTCCCAAATGCGGGCCAGGCCCCTTTCGAGGGTATTCCCTGTGATCCAGATGCTCTCGACCACCTTCAAGTTGGCGCTGTGTATAATGACTTCAGCTGCCCTCCGATTGCGGCGTCATTTGTAGACACAGGGTTGAGCCCATACACACACATCACTCCCGACGATGAACCCAACGCACGACTTTTGACGCTACCGAACTCGTCAGGGTTCACGCCGGGGATGGCGGGTACTTCAATGAGTCCCAAAAGCTCCTCTCAACCTCCCGCCAGATTGGTATCCTTAATGGGGACCTTAACCGGACATCAACCCCCCCACGGGGAGAATTATTTTGGTCCCGGTGAGGCACTGGGGGTTCACCAGGCACCCACCTCTCTCAGAGGTGTACCAGACTTCGGAATAGAAGGGCCGCCTCAACCTGCCTTGCTGGTTCCCAACGTCTTACATAGCCAACCGATGAAGATCGAAGAAGCAACCTACTCCGCAAAAGTTCAGACCAAATCTACCACTCTCCCGTGGAACTCTCCGATCACACCGGGAATCCGCCATCAAACCGATGCGAACACCGAGGGCGGCCCGGGTAGTGATGGTTCTGGCAGCCGAAGAAAGCGAGGCCGATTTTCCAACGAAGTACTACGGAGGCAGACATCAAACACACGTACCATGGGGGCTTGTCTACGGTGTCACAATCAAAAAATTCGTGTAAGTCGGCTAACGGACCCTTTCGTTCACCTCCTTTTTGCTCGAGCGGGTTACTAATTTTGGCAATGGACGTGGTAAAAGTGCACACCCAATCCATCGGACGACACCAACCCATTCGCACCTTGTAAAACGTGTCTCGGCGTTCGCAGGGATTCCAAGAAGATGATCCATTACATCCCTTGTCTCCGATTCAAGTTGAGTATGATGACGCTATACCGTGCCGGAGGCCTGAACTACACCCAACGCTTTGACCACACCAAAGTTACCGATGTTGTCGACTATGTCGACGATGTCATTTATGATATTGAGATTGCGCAGAACTTTTGTCCGGCTCCCCTTCCTCTACGAGTCCGACGTTTCAAACCCGAGACGTCCGACCTGACGCGATGGAAGTATCTTGAGGATGGCATCCCCAAATCTCAAGACACCGGAGCGTTTTGTCTTGCCAGCATTGAGAAAACTGCGAGGGAATTCAACCAGCATTACATCAACGTATATGCATTGAAGGGGTTACAAAAAGTAGGGGTGGACTCGGACGATCTCACTAGAGGTGTCTTCGAGATGATTGAGGTAAACAAACACCCAAACTTGATCGTGCAGAACCGCCTTCTTACGTGGATTCAATAGACCGTCATCAACACTAAACACGAGGAACCGAGAGAAAGAAGTAGCGGAAATCACCAAGCGTTTCTGCTGAAGCTCGTCCGTCTTTGGTTTGCAATAAGTTAGTCGACGCCGTTGTCATTGTGCTATTGTTAGGTGTTGCTTACCGTCAACTATAGGACATGGAACCGGATCGGCATGGTATTCCCGCGGTGAAGAAAGTCTTGGGTTGAGCTCGGTGCTGCCGTCCGGCAAAATACCGGTCTCTCGTATGATTGTCGCCCAATTTGATAGCATACGACACGAACGTGTTTTTAAGAAGATCGCCCCGGAAGTCCTCCGGACCATCGAAACATTCCTCACATCGTCTAACAAGGAAGCGTGGTTCACCGTTTTCCTCGCAACATTTTTACTTCTCCATCAGGTCGCTTCTACCTCGAAAGATCGCTATCGCCACTCTAAACAAAACTCGCGGGGGCAAAAGCTGGTATGTTAGGTCCTGTTTGTGAACTCGCTCTTGACGGTAACCGCTAAACGATGTTGTAGGAGACTCGTTATGGAAAGATTATGGACCCTCTTGTGGTTTTTGTTGAGGAGGCTCATCATAGTGCCGTGATGCTTCTAGCTTACTGGCAGTATTATAAGCGATGCGACCTCATGAATTTCAATTGGGACTCCGTTGCGGACTCGCCGTTATCATGCCTGGAAAGTTACCAGGTTGAATTTTTGAAGAGGACGGTGGGACTTCTCAAAGAGAAACGTAAGCTGTTTTCTGGGCTGTAATTAGCAAGGAGGGGCCTGCTTTAGCTAACGTCACAACAGTACCCTCAATTCCGACAACACCAATCGAAGGCTGTTGGGAACATGAACTCTTTTGGGTCTCGAAAATGTTCATGTCAACCCCATCGCCGGGGGTTGATTGGAACCCACCAGAGACGTTTACTGTGGCGAAACCCAGTGTCGGCAACGAAGAGCCCCAGCAACTTTCTGGGGTCGGGCGAAGCATTTTGCTGAATCCTCTGGCTTCATCAAATCCTTTGCTCAAACCGCGATGAGGTATCTTCCCCTGTGTTAGCCGTCAATCACTAGCCTGAGCAGCTGTGGTGGCGATAATAAACATGGAGTGCCCTATTGTGTAAAGCCATTACTTCCATATTGACAAAATGCTCGTGACTTTTATCCCGATGGGTGTGTGACATTGGAAGGGCTGTGCAGGAAAAGGCCTCCGACCTGCAGATATTACTGGTCATGATGCATGGAAAGACAGCCACCCCAAATCTTGAGCATGCGCCAGGGGGTCCAGCGTCCATACCAACCTCAGGCTTAGCCACCGCCCTAAAATTTGAAACACAAGGCGATCACACCCCATTTCCCGCCCTAGAATTCTCGAGAACATTTATGCCACTCCTCCTCTCTATCATACTCTCGACTCTCGTCCACCCAGCACCCGCTCATCTCAATCCATGGCGACTTCAAGTTGTCGCAATACGAAGTCGCCCTTCACCCGCTCAAGGGTTCTCCGTTCTATTCGTCTCACGCGGTGCTTTGATACCCTAGTACCTCAACCCCTTTGGGCATCCAGGCGTAGGCTTCTTTCCCAAGATGGGACTACACACATGCGGTAAACCCGTCAGGCAGGCCGCTGGCTGGCCACCCGAGTCACCTGCTTCCCAGCACGGCAATCAGCACCGCAACTTGGAGCACAACGAGGACAACCGCATGGCTTCAAAGCTCGCCGGTATCGAGTCTTGGCCTGAGACTGCCACTGACATGCCAGCGTCACCAAGAGCCAAGTGGGAGGATGAGGATGACACAACGCTTATTGCGCCTGCGCCGAACCCGGCCCCCCATCGTCACTCTCCGCCCCCCCGTCGAGGGCCCCGCTCAGCCTATGTGTCGGCGGTCGACGATAGCCTTTCTGATTTCGACCCTGGCCTGCCACATGTTAGGGGAAGCGGCAATCCCCGCCAGTCTAACGCTCAAGATGATAACTCGTCTGAGTTAATCAAGACACCGGAGACAAGGCCTATTTCCCAGGAGGAGCTTGTTGCCGAAGTCAAAGCGATTTATGCCGGCCTAGTTGTGGTCGAAAAGAAATGTATCGAGATCGACAATGACCCCAACAACACCAAACCCAACAAGTTGAACAACGACCAATGGCGGGCCCTGGTTGATCTGCATCGCACGCTGCTTCACGAACACTATGACTTTTTCCTGGCCGCCAACCACCCTTGGGCGAGCCCGGCCCTCAAGCGCTCAGCATCGAAATACAGCCAACCATGCGGATTTCCCAAAATTGAGGTGGAACGGCATTCTATCCTTGACTTCATATCTCAATTCATTTCCAAGCTCGGGGAAGGGGCCGATGGGGAGTTGTTAAAGTGGGTTCAGATGGCCGAAGACGTCCTCGACCGACTCTATAAACGATTTTGGCCGGCCGATTTTGAAACCTTGGTCTACCTTTTGCGCTTTTACTGCTTCTTTAACGAATTCCCCAGTGGGATACGCCACCTCTGTACAACGATGCCGTGGACCATTTGGCCAGCACTGGTTGTGCTTTGGGGGGTTTGCTGGATGTTCATTCTGAACCGAGCTGACCCGCGACGTAACCCTTCCCTGCTGCCAGGGCAGCCACGGTGGGAGCGGGATCTCGACGCTTATGGTTTGTTCCTCAACTTCATTTGCGCCTGTGCAGCAGCTTACAATGTGACAGTGGACTTTGCTGAAATCTATCAAACCCATGATAGCAGCTTCTTGCATGAGCTCTGGAATGCTGACCTGACGACTTCCCATGCCACATTCGTGGAACTTGAAGGTCCTTCGACGCCCATTCACAATACCTTCACCGGGTCTTACCAAACAAGTGACCCGTTGACTATGATGTCGAACCACGGTATCCTTCCACCTTTCTCGGCTTCGCCATCCGTGGGTCCTGCGAGCCTCGCCATAAATTTGCCGCAAACTGTACCACTAGCAGCAGGCCAAGTACCCGTGTCATTACACATTCCTGCGAACGAGGACTCGGATTGGACATCCCAACATCTGGCCCCGGTAACCGCGTTTGCTCAACACATGGGCGCTCACCACATACTTCAACCAGACCGGGCTACCATGAAGAGGGTTCCTGGGGGTACCGTCAGGACACGTGCTAAATCGTAGGTCTATTCTTGAGGGCGTCTTGTATTCTGTGAGCTAACATCTATTCTTCAGGTCTGCTGAATCGGCTTCTCTTACATGCCAGGAATGTGGGAAAAAGTTTACTAGAGAGGACAGTCTTCTTCGACACGAGCGGGAGCAAAACCATGGGAAGTTTGCAGGCTCCGATCAAACCGAGTTCCGTTGCCCAAACTCTCAATGCAGGAGATCAGCTATGGGTAACGGCTTTCAGCGAAAGGACAAGCTCGAGGAACACAAACTGAAAAAATCATGTAGACCTGGCCGGAGGCTGTCAAAGGCAAGCCACCGGCTCACTTCCAACGGCCTTCGCACCGCGCTCCCCATTCACCTTGCTCTGGCATACGGCTTGAACCATGGCGGTGCGAATGAAGTTGCACTCGTCGAGTCTCCAGCTTCAAACCATGATGACGCGAATGAAGCCCTGTCAGACGGAATAAGCAGTCCTAAGTCCGCACCAGCTGTCCCGATGTCGGACGTCCCGATTCCGGTGCTCTTGTCGCGACCGGATGGGAGAGACTCGATTATGCATCCCCAGCGCGAGACATCCAGTGCGAAAAAGCCTGCTGGTGGGAAGCCCACCCTTTCTGAGAGGATTGAATACCACGAGAAATGTTACGAGGCCGACGTGGACGAGCTCAATGCGACAGACAGAGAGATCCGAGTCATGGAGGACGCGCTTCAGGCAAAACGACAGACCCGGCGGCAGGTCGAGGAACGCGTTACTACTACCAAGAGTGAGATCGAGATGCTTAAAAGGCAACGGGACGGGAACGTTTCCGGCGGTTGAGAGGATGCTGAACGCCTTGATCGGCTACCAACAGCTTGAACGACTTCGACGTTCGTCCGACGGCAGAAATACGTGGCCATGACTTCTTCGGAGCCGATACCGATAATGGGCCTCAAGCGACAAAGGAAATTTGGAGAAATAGGGCTCTCAGTTGGTCTTGGCGAGCGAGGGTCATTTCTTTAGAGAATGTTAGAATGTCTATTTATACCTTAAGAACTGACCTGATATTATGTGCCACTGGAAGTTTTTTGGTCTCATAGAAAACCCTAACCATGAACGCGGTTATGCACCAACCCTCCCAGCAGCTAGCAACCACCTCGGTTGATTCAACCTTGGTCTGTTGAACCTCGTTCAATTGAAGTTGGCCGCTTAGCTCGTTGAATTGAACCTGTAGTTGTGACAAGACAGACCGGTGCGCTTGGGCGGATGCACGCGGTTAAGGTAAGGGTTGTGCTTAAGTAAATTTTTTAAGGTTAGACATTCTTATTTACATGGTAGTAAGGCTTTAAAGTTACCAACAAGTCAAAAACGGCAGCCCTGGCAGCGACACAGGAATTCCGGGTCGTGCGTGGCATTACATTGCGCGTCTGGAGCCTGGATACGGCATTTTCGCGATCGGCTAGCATACGCGGAACTAGAGGAAATGAAAGGAGGAGGAAAGGCAGAACTGTGGCGAGGGACGAGGGCATGAAAGTATTTATCCTCAAGAGTTGACCTCGCGAACGGATCCAGCAGCTGGGAGCGACAAATATGGGATTCGTGCGCTGGGCTAAATATGATTGGCGGATGGCGCAACCAGGTGGGTCGCGGCAGACCAGTCAAAAACGGCAGGCTGGACAGCGACACAGCTGTCCTTTTCTGGCAAGGACCCTGGCTTCGGCATCGTATAGCGACAGAAGTCACTCCAAAAACACTGCTTCAACATTAGGAACAAAAGTACCTGCAATAGTCCTGTTGTCGAGCAGCAGCATCGTCGATTTGTAACACTACCGAGAACAAAGCGGCGGTTTTACATATTACCCGCCCAATTTGCATCGACCAAGCAACTTGGACACACGGCACGCCATCACCCACTTCCTCCCGCCCGTCACAATGTCCGACCTCGACGCTTTCGACTTCCTCCCGCTTCAAATCGATCCCAAATCAAAGGCCATTAGCTCCGCACACCCATCCGCCTCACGCGCGCTCGAGAGCGAGCTGGCCGCGCTCAACAACCTGCACCGCTCCCTGCACGCGCTCGACACACCGCATATCGTGCCCCCACCGCCGGTGCCCGTTAACCCCAAGCGTAGCGCCAACATCAACAAGCTGCGCGAGTCCGGTAACTCCGAGTACCGCAAGCAACGCTATGCCGAAGCCGTCAAGTTCTACACATTAGGCCTCCAGATGGCGCTGGCGCGCCCTGCGTGGGAGCCCAGCCAGCTCGTGCGCGAAGAACTCCATGCTCTTTACAGCAACCGTGCTCAGGCGCACATGCACCAAGGCAACTGGCCCGAGGGTGCCATCGATGCGGAGGCGAGTGTAGAGTGCAAACGGCAGGGTAACGCTAAGGCTTGGTTCCGGCGTGGGCGGTGTCTGGTGGAAATGGGCCGTCTAGCCGAGGCAAGGGAGTGGGTGACTCGCGGACTGGAGTTCGAGGGCGAGGAGAAGGAGCTCAGTGAGCTTTTGAAGGAGGTGGATGGGAAACTTGATGAAGAGAAGGGGAGAAGGGATGCGTAAATTCCAAGGGAAGGTTCCCGGGGGAGGAGAGCGCAATATAATTAGTGGTGAGAAAGTATGCTGAGGGGAGGGGAGCATGGTTCTATTTCCTGTTGAATTTGTTCTTCACCTGGGTTCGGCGTTTCGGAGAATGGGCCATAAAGAAGGACTGAAAGTGTGTATCTCCATGAACCGAAAGACATTGTGACGACGCAAAGGGAAAATGAATATGAAGCTGCACATATGGCACGGTCTTTCATAAGCACCGTAAAAAGCAGCAACCTCGAAATACGTAGTTCCAACAAATCCTCCCAACATCTCCCATTCCCGCTTTCACCGATAGCATCGTCGCCAGTTTCCCATTGCCGTTTGAGCCTTTCCATTCCCATCGACGCCCGTATCCACATCCTACTGCGAAGATCCGTTACATCCGTCTCCCTGACAAACATCAAAAATACCAATAGCATCATGCTCAAATCAAACAAAGGAAATACAAAGGTTAGAAAAGGCGACCAGTCAGCTCCTCTCTTCTTTCCTACCCCTCAACCAGTCATGTCGCCCAAAAGGGATTGGAAGAGCGCCAGGGCTCATGATCTGACCGGAAAGGGCCAGGTGCCGTGTATCCCCAGCATGATATCCGCCGGTCGTTGTCCGGTACCACAGCAACATCCGAATCTCTATCTCATACTTCGTCAACCTTAGATAGTCGCCCCGTCACATCCCTCGCGCTCTTTTGCCAATTTCGGTCTCAGATCTTCTCTTCCTTTTCCGATGGAATTTCGGCGACCGTCGACTTGCTCCGTGGGCGCATGACGGCATCCTGGCTGGTCATACGACGGCCGAGAGCGCGCTCAAGTTTGGCGCTCAGCGCAAGCTTGGCGAGGTTGGTAGTCTTTTCTTCGTTGAGGTAGACTCGCTGGTCTGCAAGGCGCGGATTCTTGAGGCGCTCCAGTCCGTCAACGATGGGGCGAATCTCGGCGGTGACGCTGTCGGTGCTGAGCACAGTAGGGGTGATGGACGGCGCATTCATGCTGTACGTGGAGAAGCGGACGGATGTACGGGTCTGTCGATGATCGGCGTGGATTTGTGGTTAGCAAAACGTCCTTGGTAATGGTGTTGATTTATTGTTGTGTCATTTCGTGGGCCCCCGATGGACCGGGTGGAGTAGACACTTGGAAGATCTAGTCAGGTGATTTGAGAACATATGAGAGCGCACGAACCGAAGGCGCCATGATAGGGCGGGAAGACTCCAACGAGGTCGGCATTCTGGAGACTGGGGAGAAGCCTGTGGTCTCTCTTTTTGTGTTGGTTGTGATGATGCTCAGGGTGTGGTTCAATGTGAAACACCGCGCAGGAAACGTGGGCTTTGAAAGAGAGATTCGTGGGCTTTGAGCGGAAATGGTGGCGAAAAGGACCGGCTCGGTGCTTATCGCGTGGGTAAACTGGGGCCGTGAGTTTGTCAATTCTTGTCGCTGTTGCTGTTTGATCAGGAAGAGATGAACAGGCAGGCCTGAGTGCGGTGATGGGCAAGGGGGTAAAGGAGGAGGAAAATGGCCCCCATTCGGGGAGTGGCCGCACCACCTGCAGCCCGCCCACATGGGCGTCCTGTTTCTACCGAAGGGGCCGTTGCCATTTGGCACAAAAAGCGGGCCCCTGGGGAGAATGCTAGGAAGATCCTTACCATTTCTGAGCCAAACCCCCCATGAAACAAGTGACCTGCAATCACACACACTCCCTCTCTCCGGTCATCAACCACAAGAATGCGACGCCTCGAATGGTCTGAAATGTGAGCTTCACGCCATTTAACTGCTACCCGGTCATCACGCCTCTGAATCAAATGGTTGACGATTGTGAACGTTGGCGGACGGAGGACCCCGGCCCTCTAGTTATTTGCCAGCTTGTCTCCCCTCAGAGAAGTCAAGTTCAAACTCATAAAGCCGGAATGGGATCGGCCAATGATCCCCGGCTGACGGTCCACTTTGGGGGAAAGCATCAACTTGTCTCGAAGGTCGAAGGCCTCACTAAGGGTTTGTGAGAGAAAAACACCCACGCTCGTCACGGCGGGGTACCGAAGGGAGGATTCCTTACCGTCGAATCAGTTGCAGCCAAGCGGAGAACCGCACGTGGCATTCTCCCCAATTGTCCCGGCTCCCCACAACACTATTTTCGGACCGGAGAAGCTGGCACGAACGGCGTGAAAATTACCGGGCCGCAACTCTGACGCATAAATTACGGTGTAAGTTACATACGCCCCGAAGCTCGGGCCAAGAACCGTCAATTCGTGAAAGATCATCCTGCATTTCCTTTCTGACACTGTAATTTCCGGCGAGATCTGCCTGCGACATCAATTCCTTGGTTTCATTTTGGGGCGGAACCCTGCCGTTGACTTCCCCGATAAGGCCCAGCGTTTTCGAGTAGGTATCGGTGAGTTACCACCGCCAATATTCGTAGTGTATATCGGGTAGAAAATATAGCAATTGGAAGTGGATTATGGACTAAGATTTTCGGTGAGGGGGCCCAAACCCATCTGAAGTGGTCCGATTTTATGTTTCTCACAAGCGCCTCTTCTCGGTGTTTTGCCCGTACTGTGAGTGGTTGACAGAATAATTAATTAGTCGTCATCGGGAACCGGGCGTGTCGGTTGCTCGGGCCAACTTGCTCCGTACCTAGGTATTAATAGTTTGATACCTAAATAATCAAGGTTGCCCGAACCGGTCCTTACAATGACCACCGTGTTATTTCAACTACACTATGGTCCGGTAACAACTTAGCAATATGCGCCTGAGTAGCAGAGCAGCTGGGCGAGGAGCTGACACGAGATTACCTTGGATTATGAATTATTATGCGTGAGGGCGCCGGGCGGCTCTCGTTATAACCAGGCCGGAATTTTGGCGTTGAATGTCAGGGAGATTTTGAGTTGCGAAGAGCCGGTGGTGAAAATTAATTACCCGTACCTAGGTGACAACTCGGTGGGTTGGAGGATATTCAGCAAAATGCCACGAACCGAACCCAGAGGTGGCCCACTACGGTCTCAAGTTGATACTGTCCATCTACCCAGAGACCAAGACGGCTACACAAACTACCCACGGCCGGATTGGAGCCGCGTTGTTTATTACCGCTTCCGCTTGAAACTCGTTGTAAGTCAAACGTTTAAACCGGAATAGCAACGATTACGACCTGGTGTTCGTGGCTCAAACCCTAGTTCCAAAGATTTTTGACAGCTGGGACAGACGTTCTGAACTAGTCACGTATTGTAAGAATGAGAACCAAAAAGCGAACAACATTCCTTTGGGGCTTCCAATGGCTCGGGGTGGTGTTTGTTCTCGTTGTTAACTTGTTAATGCTTTTTCGCCATTCCGTGGAGTTGGGTGAACATCTCGAACACCAAAACTGCTGTCTTGTCAAGCCAATTCAACGGAATACATTTCTTATGTTTTGCTTGTGTTATTTATGTGTGGTGGCCCTTGGTGGTCTACACTCCATTGCCGACTTTTTGCCTAACTTCTACGGAGGAGTTCTCCATCAATCGTCGTCAACAAGCTTTCATTCCCGGACATTAACATTGACATTATCACTAGATAATACTCCCCCGTAACTCTGACTCGGAATCACGACCAGGGACCACTCTGTCGATATAGATACCCCAGATCCGTGGATACCTCCAGGGAGCCACTGTTCACTATCTCAACCAAATTTCCCTGGGGACTCTTTGCGACTTGCCCTGTCCTCTTAATCAATCCTCTACCCGTCAAGAAAAGGTTTCCTTCTTCAACCCGCCGAAGCCCCCTCTCAGCATCGTCCCAATCCCTCCACCACTCCGAGCATCCCTCTATGGAATCGCCCATGGCCCGTTGACCGTGGTATGGCTGTCGCCTTTATGCTTGCGCAACATTCGCTTCTTTCACTCCTGATTCGAATTTGATAGTGTACGTCATGACTGGATCTGCGTCTGATATTTGAGGACCATTCTGTCGTCGTTTTCTCGATTCTTTCCCCCCCTTCGTGTCCTTACGACTTGCATCCTTGGAGCCGGTTTTCGCTAAAAACGTGTGTGAGGACGGACAAATAGCAACACAACAATGGATGAACACCCACCAAGACAGTCTAAGACCCAGACTTACTATCTTTGGCGCAATTCCGGCAACACCCGTGGTCGCACCGTTCCATCCATTCCCACTCGTTGGTGATGGGGTTTTTGTTCCATTTTGGTTCAGCAAAGACGTTTTTGCACCACCCACTATCATTCCGGCCTCCACATTTGCAACACGTCCAACCCTGGGTTCCTGTGCTGCGGAAGTCGCAATTTGCTAATGGACAAGCCGTTGTTGACGATTGGGACGTGGCAAACGTGATGCTGGGACATGGTGTCTCGTATCCCGTCTCGAGGTCTATGAGCGCCGAAGGACAGTAATGCCATGTCACAGATTGGTGGCCGCAAGAGTGGTAGTGGGGGTGCCCGTGGCACATGGCTGGCTGCCGATAAGGTTGAACAAGAGGGGTGGGCGAGCGGCGCTTCGAAAATCGACGAAGGTAAGGCGAGATAGGACCTTTGCATCCAACGTCGGATCGTCTTGGGCGTACAAGTTGGCCAGTGTGCAGGCTGCCTCGCTGAGTTAACGGGCCGGACTAGGTTTCCCTGGTGAATGTCGTGTACGCCCATCGAAGAGCAAGCGAACTTCGAGCAAAATACTTATATGCCTAGCATTCGTCATTCGGAGACCCAGGATCTTTCGGATCCTTCCCTCCGCCGTCACCGAGGTCGAGGCTGATTGAGCCACCGACGCTCAGCTGCCATTCCGGGATTGGGTGGTTCACGACCAAGCTGTCATGGTAACGGCACGCCCCTTCTAAATCTCACAATGCGGTCGATCATGGCAGCTCGCTTCTTCGAGGATGGGCGGGACTAGGGCGTTGATAGGCTCCCCAATTCCCGAAGAATGTGAAACCAGCCCCGAATCGGATGACACACGCAGAGGTGAGGTAGGGACAATGCCCGTACAGCAAATTGGTGCGCACTCATTGCATCCAGTCTTTTCCATGGGGCCATGGGCTATTTCGCACTATCATTTTATGCGGGTCGCTGGCTGTCTGTGACTCTGGTGCTTTTTGGAGACCCAGATGATCGATGACCCGGCTGATCACACCCGACCCACAGCATCCCTTAGCGAATCAGCCCCTCCAAAATATTCCGAGGAATGGCTCACCAGATCTCTGGGCCCCGATTTCTTCGGCAGCAACCATATTGGGGCTCCCGCATCTGCATTGATCGCCGCCTGGGCACCGCGCCGTGGAGGTTGCTTGGGAAGGAGTTGCTTGGGCGAACAGGCGGTTGCGACTGTCCATGACCCCCGCTCCTGCCTCTTGCTACAAACTCACCCTCTCGAATTGCGCGGGACAGCATTCCTCACTTCCTCCTTCCATCGTTTGACCCGGTGTGGTTGGTGCAGGCAGGCACGCCTTCGCCCAAAAGCAACCTCCCTTCCGGGCCTGTGAGATCCCCACAGATCCATCTGCTGGGTCAAGCCGGGTGATCGACGCTAGGGTATGATGGCTTGGCGCTCGGTTTCTGGGAATGACCTTCATTCGCTTCTCCATTGTGCCGGCACTGCCGGCTGAACGCCGACATTGAGGTGCCTGTGACCGGGCTGCAGCAGGATCTCTGTTCCCAAAACTTGGGTCTGCGACACAAGATCTGGCGGGACTAAAAGCCACACCAACTGCTACCAGGCTTATTTAGCAGCCCGCGGGACCGGGAATGCGCTGAACCACGAATTGGAATCTGCTTCTCGGGACGATTGTGATCGCTTGGCTTTGTTGGTCCCGATATGGATTTCTGCTCCGGCGTTCGTCGACGTTCCCTGCATGGTCCTTTCCCCGCTCCAGAAAAGGTCAAATCTTCCAGAGTCTGGGTTGCAGAGCTACACTGGGCGGAACGGAGTTCCGGATCTGCTCGGCATAAAGATACGCCTCCTCCATCTTTTAGGGGTAACCTCAACGCCCCGTTTGGCGTGCAATGAGGGGGTTGCCCGAGTCGGCTTCGCGTGCAGACAGCCACCACCACGTCGTGTTCACAGATCTGTCAAACCAGCCTTCGACTTTCTCACATTTTCGCCTTTTCCAAGTTATCGGCCCCCCCCCTCGGCTCCCTCAGCCTTCAAGAGCTCGGCCAGAGGAACTGCGGCTTTCCATCTGTATTCCGAGTGGGCCGGAGTTCTGAGCTGGAGCTTCATGACAGGGATGTCCCCGGGGCAGGAAAGAGAGCTTC